CCTAGCCCTGCAGGTATCTGCTGGCCTCTCCCAGGACCTGATTTCCTCCTTGGCCAGGTGAGGATAATGATCTATTGATTTCAAAGCATGTCACTAGGGCTAAATGAGGCATAAAGGTGCTTTGACCCCTGGCACTTCTGCCCTTCCTGTTTTCAGTGCCAAAACCCTCAGCCTGGCCAGGCTTGGCAGGAGGCACTGTGAAGCTGCTCGCCTGAACCCCAGCTCTGTCCCTGGCGGGTGGGCTGTCCCTTGCAAGGGGCCCCTTTGTGCCCCAGCTGTTTCATCTGTAAATGATAACAGCCAGCACCAGCTTTGCTCTGATGGAAGCCCCGGAGTTAAGCCCCTCCCTACGCCTCCGTATGGTCCGCTTCAGGCAAGGCGGCCACTGTGGCGGTGACTGTCAGAATTGCTCTCCGACAGGGGCGTTGCTTCCATCAAACTCAGGTGGGAGTGTCTGTGTTGTAAACACAAGCACACACACTACACACACACACACAGCATATGCCACACGTATGCACACAACACACATAGCACATGTATATGTATCCACACACCACATAGCACATAGAAGACACACACATTCCACACACTACACACATATATACATATGCCACACACCTACACGAATACGCAGCGCATGCCACATGTATGCACATGAATGACACAAACCACATCTATCACAGAAACATATAAACACATACATCACACACACAGCACATGCCACATACACATATGCACATCACATAACACACACACTTACACATTTCACACACACCACACACAAACATATACACCACACATACACAGCACATGCCACACACAGACCACATATACACTCCACATAGCACACACAACACACACACTTCACACACAACACATGCCACATATATACCACACATACCCACACATGTACATAAACACATACACAGCACGTCTTACACACACAACACATACACACCACATAGCACATGCAACATGCACACATTCCACACACATCATATGCCACACACATCACATGCCACACATACCACACATTCCGCACACATGACATTCCACACTTACATACACATATACATAAACACACCACATGCAACACATACATACACACATACACAGCATGTGTCACACACATACAAATACCACACATGCCACACATATACATAAATATACCCATACCATATACAACACATACCTACACATGTGCACACATCTACACATCTACATGTCACATATCACCTACACACAAACACATATACACACCACACACCACATACATACACACATACACACAGCACATATCACACATACTCCAACACACATATACACACATATACATGACACACATACACACAGCACATATCACACATACTCCAACACACATATACACACATATACATGACACACAGAGATATCACACACGTATACACACCACGTAGCACATGCATACACACGCCACACACAAATACACACATATCACATACACAGCTACACATACACACATACACAGCACATACCACACATATCACACATGGCACATACCATACACATACATACCACTATACCACATGCATACAGAACATGCAGCCCACATACCACTCAAGTGCCTCTACACACACACACAGAGGAAGGGGGACTCATTTGGTGTCAGGAGCTTGCTCACAGTTCCAGTGCAATGGCACACTTCCCACCTGGGCATTGGCTGCGTTTATGTCATTTATGTGATGGAGCCTTTCATGGGATGCTCACCTACCTCAAAACACCAGGGTGAAGACCTTTCAAAAGTGATGCCAGCCACTGTTTCCTGAGCACCTGCTAAGCATTTGCTAAGCATTATCTCATCTAATTCTCCAAGTCATGTTGTGAAGTAGATATTTTTCAAACTGTTTCACAGAGGAAGTGGTAGGGGGATGGAGGGAGTGAGTTGCAAGCTTGGGAAGGGGAATTTGGACACAGGCATGCAGGGGAGACAGCCAGGTGAAGACACAGGCAGAGACTGGACTGGTGAGTCCACAAGTGGAGGCCCCCATGGATGGCCAGCAGCCCGTGCAGGCTGGGAGAAAGGCCCTCGTAGTCTCAGAAGGAACCAACTCTGCCAACACCTTGACTTCTGGCCTCAGCGTCCAGAACTACAAGAGGATTAATTTCTGTTGTTCTAAGCCATCCTGTTAATGATCATTCGTTTGCAGCTGCCCTAGGAAACTGTTTACGAAAAAAGAAGAGCCGGCCAGGTGTGGTGGCTCACACCTGTAATCCCAGCACTTTGAAAGACCGAGGCAGATGGATCATGAGATCAGGAGATCAACACAATTCTGGCTAACACCGTGAAACCCCGTCTCTACCAAAAATACAAAAAAAAATAGCCAGGCATGGTGGCATACGCTTGTAGTCCCAGCTACACAGGAGGCTGAAGCAGAAGAATCACGTGAACCTGAGAGGCGGAGGCTGAAGTGAGCCAAGATCGCCCTACTGCACTCCAGCCTGGTGACAGAGTGAGACTCTATCTCAAAAGAAGAAAAAGAAAAAAGAATTGCCCAACACAGCAGCTCACACCTGTTCCGAGCACTTGGGGAGGCTGAGGCAGGGGGATTGTTTGAGCCCAGGAGTTTGACACCAGCCTGGGCAACAAGCAAGACTCTGTCTCTACAGAAAATTTTAAAAATTAGCTGAGTGTGGTGGCACACACCTGTGGTCCCAGCTGCTAGGAAGGATGAGGTGGGAGGATCTCTTGAGCCCAGGAACTCGAGGCTGCAGTGAGCTGTGATCACACCACTGCATGCCATCCTGGGTCACAGAGCAAGACCCTGTCTCTTAACAACAAAAAAAAGTTTTAATCTCTGGTTGGCCACAAGCCTCACCACCCTCTATTTTTATACCAACCAGTGTCACTCATTTACTTTTTGCCTGGCTCTCTAAGGCTATTTATTTAGTTATTTATTTAGGTTTTTTGGTTTTTGGCTTTTTTTTTTGAGACGAGCCTTGCTCTGTCATCCAGGCTGGAGAGCAGAGATATCTTCTCGGCTCACTGCAACCTCTGCTTCCCAGGTTCAAATGATTCTCCTGCCCTAGATCCCAAGTAGCTGGGATTACAGGTGCCCACCACCCTGCCGAGCTAGTTTTTGTATTTTTAATAGGGATAGGGTTTCACAATGTTGGTCGGGTTGGTCTTGAACTCCTGGCCTCAAGACCAACCTGCCCGCCTCAGCCTCCCAAAGTACTGTGATTACAGACATGCATTGCCGCACCCAGCCAATAAAATGAACTTAAAGAACTCTTAAAAATGGAGAGAAACATAGACCAAAACCCTGAGAGAAAAATGGGCAAAAACAGGCATCTTACAGAACAAGAGGCAAAAATGGCATTCCCGCCTAGTTCTCTGACCCTGCCAGAGCCTGAGATGTCATTATAATTTAATAAATCTGTTTCTGCTCAAACTAGACGTCATGGATTATGTTGTTTCTCATTTATTTGGTGGGCACAGGCTATTTACAGAAATCAGTCCACCCTGAATCGTAAAGGCCTTCCAGCCTGCAATGCATCCAGATCCTGAGACAGCTTTAAAAGAGGAATTTGTCCGGGCGCCGTGGCTCACGCCTGTAATCCCAGCACTCTGGGAGGCCGAGAGGGGTGGATCACCAGGTCAAGAGATCGAGACCATCCTGGCCAACATGGTGAAACCTCGTCTCTACTAAAAATACAAAAATTAGCCAGGCGTGGTGGCACGTGCCTGTAATCCCAGCTACTTGGGAGGCTGAGGCAGGAGAATCGCTTGAACCCAGGACGCAGAGGTTGCAGCGAACCGAGGTTGTGCCACTGCACTCCAGCCTGGCGATGGAGTGAGACTCTGTCTCAAATAATAAATAAATAGTAAAAGAGGAATTCACAGATGTATCTTTAAGCAATTACAGTGTTATCCCAATGAGAGTTGTGCCCTTTAGAGTGACCACTTTGAAGTAGAGAGAGTTTTGCATTTGGGTGAGCCCTGGTTTGTTTGTTCAAAAAGAGAGCTTTTGGAGTCACACCTCATCACCCGAACAATATGGTATATGCCTTAGGAATGTCTTCTTTTTACCCACACTTGAGTCTGGGAGCGTCTCATGTCTTAAGTCTCCATTTCAGACAAAACAGTGATGGTAACGTGAAGATGATTCAGATGGCACTGGGAGGCTCTCCAGCTCTTCCATGTTCTTGACGCTTCCCTGAACCCCGCACAGGATCTAGAGGTGGCAGATGAGCTTCAACCTCTTGAAAAGTCCAGAGTAGGCCGGGTGTGATGGCTCAAGCCTGTAATCCCAGCACTTTGGGAGGCTGAGGTGGGCGGATCACGAGGTCAAGAGATTGAGACCATCCTGGTCAACATGGTGAAACCCCGTCTCTACTAAAAATACAAAAAATTAGCTGGGCATGGTGGCGCGTGCCTGTAATCCCAGCTACTCAGGAGGCTGAGGCAGGAGAATTGCCTGAACCCAGGAGGCGGAGGTTGCGGTGAGCCGAGATCGCGCCATTGCACTCCAGCCTGGGTAATGAGCGAAACTCCTCAAAAAAAAAGAAAAGAGAAGAAAAGAAAAGTCCAGAGTAAGCAGGACTGCCTTTGGAAACTCTCTCAGCATGGAAGCAACCTGAATGCCCATCAATAGGGGATTCTCTGCATAAATCAGGCTACATCCAAAGATTTGTGTTGCCCTTAAAAGCTGTGATTTAGAATAGAGTCACGGACACACAAAGACACTTGGGATGTATTGTTAAGAAAAAAAAAAAACAGACTACAGAACATGGAGTGCTATCCTATTTCTGCGTCGTATACTATTTTTTTTAAGTATGTGTGCGTAAATATATTTGAATACAAAAGGGTCTAGAAGAGAATCTTTTGGAGTTGGTTATGGCTGAGAAGCGAGGTTATCTGTGGTCTTTTGTACTGTTTTTTAGGGAGAGAAACATAGACCCTATGTTCACGAGGAACATGTATTGCATCATAATCAGACAAAACAAGACAGTCATTTACATGTTTTTTAAAATCCTCTATTTGCTTGAAAATACTCCAGAAAGAACATGTGTGTATGTCAGGGGTGGGGTGACAGAAACGGATGAAGTAAGCATGGCAAAATGTCATCCTTGCTGAAGCCGGCCAGCAGGGACTGTGAGGAATCACCATACGATTCTCCCGACTTTTGAGGATCTTTGCACATTTTCACAATAAAAGGTGAGAACAAACAAACAACACCCAGGTCGGCAGTGAATGCATCCTTGGCTTTCAGAGGATATCACAACTCAGTGCTAGAAACACAGAAATGTCAGAAACAAGAATCCAACAGAAATAAGGCTGCAAAACTTAATGCTAAGAACCAGGAGCAAACGGTTGTGTGACCTCAGGTCCATAACAGCCTTATGAAGCCTCAGGCTTCCCATCTGTAAAACGGGAGGAAGCCCATGTTGGGCAGAGGCATGTGTTTCAGACTGAAAACTCTAATAACTACTGTGGTTGTTGTTCAACCCACAGGCCCCGGAAACAAGAACTCTGCACCCCAACAGTAATTTCTAACTTTGGTGTGTGCTAACCAGCATTACCGGCAAAAATGCAGATTTCTGGCCAGGCACCGTGGTTCACACCTGGCAATCCCAGCACTCTGGGAGGCTGAGGCGGGGGTATACGGCTTGACATCAAGAGTTCGAGACCAGCCTGGCCAACACAGTGAAACCCCATCTCTACTAAAAACACAAAAAATTAGCCGGGCATGGTGGTGCGTGCCTGTAATCCCAGCTACTCGAGAGGCCGAGGCAGGAGAATCACTTAAACTCAGGAGATGGAGGTTGCAGTGAGCCGAGATCACAACACTGCACTCCATTCTGGGCCACAGAGTGAGACCCTGTCTCAAAAAAGAAAAAAAGGCAGATTCCAAGGTCCTATCCCCAGGGATCCTGACTCCATATGTGGGGCTAGGCCTAGGACCCTCCACTTTTTTCTTTTCTTTTCTTTTTTTAAAGAGAGGGTTTCACCATATTGGTCAGGCTGGTCTTGAATTCCTGACTCCAAGTGATCCACCTGCCTCAGCCTCCCAAACTGCTGGGATTACAGGTGTAAGCCACCACGCCTGGCTAGGACCCTCCACTTTAAATGAGACCTCAGGCCATTCCCACTGGGGAAATACGCATCCAGTCCCACACCGAAGATAGCCGGGTAAGCAGGTCTGCCATGGACAAAAACGTCTGGCTGTGCAGAAACCGGGGCTGGACGTTGCTCGGGGCTGATTGCCCATTTATGACTCTAGGTGGACTTTGTCTGCAGTCATGGCTGGAAAAGCTGGCAAGCAACAGACACCTCTGCAAAAATAGTGAATAAACAGTATGTCACATTTGTGATTTCTTCCTGGGAGGGGCAGAGTCTATGGGCAATTGACTTAGGTCAGAATCCAGTTCCAATGTGAACCCACTGTGTGGCCCAGGCTGCTGCCCTTGTCCATCCAGTACCCGCATAATGGGATGTTGATAGCAATGTCAGAAACAGCCCCACGGGGTTTTGGCAATTATCTTAGGCTGTCCAGGAACCGGTCCTGGAGCCAGGACCCTGTCAGGATCCACTGGATTTATGGCCTCCGTGCTCAGGGGTGTCGGGTCCCAAACCTTCTCAATCACAGGTTAGCAGAACTCAGGCCAAGGGAAGGAAGTGCACATCCCAGCTGGAGACCACACACACCCTGGCAACTCCCCAGAGAGACAATTCCCTGCCATGCCGGCTTCTCTGTGCACCTGCAGCCCGGATCACTTAAGGAGCCCTGTCCCAGTCAGAGTCTTCTGAGCTTTCTGCTTGTGTTGTTCTGCTCCTGGCCTGGCCTCCAGATCCCTCCTCTCGGTGGGGGGTTCCGAGGTCTTCAGGAAAAGCAAGATGGTGGCAGTATGGGGGAAGAGCATGTGCTTGGGGTCCCTGTGGACCCCATTTCTGGGCTCGGCCTAGTCACCTGCTAGTCAGTATCACTAATTCAGACCTAAGAAGTAACCCCAGGCATGTTATGTCCTCCTCGTAAAATTGTTTGTTTGGGGAATTTGTGGTGAACTCCACGTCTCTCTCTCTCTCTCAAAAATAATACTATTAGAGTCATTTGTGCTTGATTGCAGCCCTGTGGAAGGGACAGTCCCCGCTTCTCCCCTCAACCCTTTGTGGTTATTTGTAGGGCAGTCACAGGAAACCAATACAAACGCATTTCCCCCTAAACATCAGTGTGGGGCTCAGTGCAATCCACCTCACAGCAAATATTCAATCCCTGACCTACATGACCAGGCCTCAGGACGAGCTGGGGGCCTTAGAGGCAAATGACAATCAGCCCTCCAGCCCTGCAGAACTACGGCTCTCGCACCCAGTGGTAACCAATTGGGCTGAACAACACCCTAGACTGTGAGCTCCCCCAGTTCTGGGCCCCCTCACAAGGAGGCACAGCCTACCTCCTGACCTAGCCTGAGCCCCTGAGTCCTCTCCCAACCTCCTCCCAGGGATCCTGGCCCCTCCAGCAAGGCTTGGGGCCTGTGTCCTTCAGCTGCCTCACTCTCCAGAAGGAGAGGGTGGCAGATGTCGAGGCAGAAGTGGAGAAAAGCTCCAGGCACATTTGCAGCCAGGGTCACCTTGTGTATGGGCAGAGTCTAGGAAAAGGGAGACAGTAGGTGCCCAGGGTGGAAAACCAGAATCTTGGGGCCAGGACCAGAGAATGCTGGCGGGCCCAGGAGGTCATTGTCTGCCCTCTCCCCAGGAGTTAGGCCCCCTCCCTCAGGCAGTCTGCCTGCTTCAGAATGGGGAGTCCAGGCTGTCAGTTCTGCAGGGCTGAAGGGCTGAGTCTCATTTGCCTCTGAGGCCTCCAAGCCCTTCCTGAGGCTTGGTCCTTTAGGGCAGGGATTCAATATGTGCTGTGAATTGGATTGAGCTGAGCCACACTGATGTCTGGGGGGAAACAACATTGTTTCAGTTTTCCTGGCTGCCCTACAAATAACCACAAGGCATGCACGTGTGTGTGTGGGGGGCGGGTTGGGGGATGAAAAATAGCAGCTTGCCCTCTCTCAGTTCTGGAGGCCAGGAGTCCAAAGTCAAGGTGTGGACAGGGCCCTGCTCCCTCTGGAGGCTCTAGGGGACGGTCCTTTCTGTCTCCTGCAGAGTCTGGCGGGCCCCGGCATTCCTTGGCTCCAATCTCTGCCCTCCTTGCACTTACTCTCCTTCCCCCCCATGTCTCTGTGTGTTCTTTTCTGTATCTTATAAGGACACTCTCATTGCAGTTAGGGCCCACTCTAATTCAGTATAATTTTACCTTGACTCGTTATGTCTGCAAACACCCTTTTTCCAAATAAGGTCACATTCTGATATTTGGGGTGGAGAGGAACTTTGAGGGGACAACCACTCAACCTACTAAGCCGTTAAATCACAAAGAGTGGGGCCGGGCACGGTGGCTCAAGCCTGTAATCCCAGCACTTTGGGAGGCCGAGGCGGGTGGATCACGAGGTCAAGAGATCAAGACCATCCTGGTCAACATGGTGAAACTCTGTCTCTACTAAAAATACAAAAAATTATCTGGGCATGATGGCGCGTGCCTGTAATCTCAGCTACTCAGGAGGCTGAGGCAGGAGAATTGCCTGAACCCAGGAAGCGGAGGTTGCAGTGAGCCGAGATCGCACCATTGCACTACAGCCTGGGTAACAAGAATGAAACTCCGTCTCAAAAAAAAAAAATCACAAAGAGTATGGCAAGAAGGACCAAAAAGGCAGCTGGAAGTGGGGAGGACCTAGATCCAGGAACTTCCCCAGCTCAGGCCTCCCTTGTTCCAGCAAGCAAGGGCTTTCCATGAGCATCTTTGACCTCCATTGCCAGCCAGGATGACGGGTTCCTGGCTCCCTTCTACAGATGAGAAAACTGAGGCTCAGAGGCCTTTGAATGCACAGCCACAGTCAGCCAGAGCTGAGACTGGAGCTCCCTTGGCATTGGAGCCTGGGGATTTCACTGCCAGCTCCAGCTGGATTGGAGAAGCACCCCCAGCTCTGATGAGGTTCCAAGATCTTTCTCCAGGGATCTTGCTTTATCAATAAGCAATGAAGGTATTGAATTATCTTTCATTTTTTTTATTTTTTTGAGACAGAGGCTCACTCTGTCACCCAGGCTGGAGTGCAGTGGCGAGATCCCCATTCACTGCAGCCTCCATCTCCTGGGCTCAGACCATCCTTCCACCGCAGTCTCCTGAGTAACTGTGACTACAGAAATATGCCACCACACCTGGCTAATTTTCCTATTTTTTTTGAGAGATGGGGTTTTGCAATTTGCCCAGGCTGGTCTCGAACTCCTGGGCTAAAGGGATCTGCCCACCTTGGCCTCCCGAAGTGTTGGGATTACAGATGTAAGCCACTGAGCCCAGCCAGACTGTCTTGATGTTCATGTTCTTTTACTACCTCAGATTATGGATTTTGGAATGTGGCCAGTTTCCTGGAATCCCATTAAGAAAGTGAGGGCCAGGAGAACAACGATTAATTTAATTCTTAATAGGAATCAGCCTAGACCTTGGAAATAAGACGAGGATATCCAACTGTCCCCAGCCTTGCCCTTGTGCCCACGTGGGAAGCCATCCTGACTTCATTTAGATTTTTGCTTCTTCCTACACTGACCAAGAACACTAGGGTGGCTTCAGGGAAATGTGCCCAAGGTTTGGAGGGGGCTGTGGGAGGTGACAGTAAATCTTTTCATTCCCAACCGTGCCTTTCTGCAATGTCTGCTCATCCTTGAAGATCTCAGGCTGGAGAATGTGGGTTTGTTTGTTTTGGAGAGACTGGGGGTGGGGTCTCACTGTGTTGACAGGCTGGCCTTGAACTCCTGGCCTCAAGTGATCCTCCTGCCTTGGTCTCCACAGTAGCTGGGACTACAGGCACGCCAGGTTCAGCCAGAGTTTTGTTGGGAAGTTTTCAGCACCTCGGACCATATCCTGTAGATGTTCATTCATTGAGTCAACCAATGTCTATTGCACACTGCCCAGAACCAAAGTGTGAGCTCCACAGGGTAGGGAGGGTGCCGGTTTTGCTCTCAGCTGCCCCTGGGTGCTTGGGACCTGGAACCCATGAATGAACAGATCCCGTTCTAGATCCACACACGTCCAAAGCAGCGATCCAGGGGAAGGGGAGGGGAGGAACGAACGTGTAGCCCCTGCGTCTCTGCTTCTTTGCCTGAGTGTAAGTGGTGGGGATTTAAAGGTGGTTCGGTGCACCGGCCCTTCCCCCACCTGCAATCCAGTGCCAATGCAACTACCAGGGGAAGGTGGCGTTTCTGTTTACTTCCAGCCAGGTCAGCTCCTTTGCCACCACCCCCACCTCCCGTATTTGCATTTTCTCGGTTTGGCAAGCCGGGGAAGTAGCCGAGGAAATAAGGCGGATTTAAAGGCTCCATTTGGACGAGGCTTTTGGAGAAAGCTTGCACCTCCCATCACACCCCCAGACCAGGCCAGTCCCCTCAAGAGTGCGGGTGCCCGCCCTCTGTGAGCTCATCACCTTCTCACAAGCCCCCGGGGGAGGTTATTATTACCCTTACTTTTCCAGGGAGGCGCCTGGGGCTCAGAGATGCCAAGTGACTCGCCCAAGGTCACACAGCTTAACAGTGGCCGACCCGGGATTGGAACCCGGGGCTCCGGACCCCGCGGCGGCCGTTTCCCGAAGACACCCGCTACCTGCCTCTTACACCGCTCAGAAATAAAGCAGGAAGGCCGAACGCCCCGCTTTGGCCCAAAAACAATGCTCCACGCAAATTTGCGGGAACAAAAGCAACCAGAAATCCAGAAATCCAGACCTGGTTTTCCGCCTCTCTGATCTTTGCGAACCAATCGCGTCCCGACGGCGGCCGAAGGACGGGAAGCGGGGGCTCTCCCGTGATCGACAGCTCCCGGGTAGGCGTGGCCGCGGCATGGGCGAATGGGATTGGGGACCCGGAACAATCACGGGGCGAGAACAGGCCGCCAGAGCCAATCAGTGGAAGGGGGGCGGGCCCGGCCTGTCCGGGCTGTCGCGAGAGGCGGCCACCCCGCCCACTTCGCTGGTCCGGGCCGCCCGTCAGCCGCGAGCGCGACGATCCCTCCGCTCCTCGAACGGCACCGCCACCGCCGCCACCGCCACCGCCACCACCGCCACCGCCACCGCCGCGCTTGGCCCCGGATCCGTCCGCCGCGCGGGAGCTGCAAGGCCTGCGAGTCCCGGCCGGATCCCTCCGCGCCTCCTGCCGCGCGTCCCTCCCCCGCCAGCGCCCGTTCCGCCGCCGCGGCCCCCAGCGCTCCCTAAGCGGCGACGCCGCGCCCGCGGCCCGGGGTAACGGCCGGCCTGGGCGGAGGCGCGGGCGGCGGCGACGGCATGGCCGGGGCGGCTCCGTCGGGGGGCGGCCCGCAGTGACAGACCCTGCGGCGCGGGGGGAGATGGGGGCGGCCGCCTCCCGGGCGACGACGACGACGACGAGGAGCAGCCGCCGCCGCCGCCGCGCACCGGCCGCCGCTGGGCACGGGCGCGGGGAAGGCGCCTCCCCGTGAGCGGGGGCCCGAGGCCGCTCGCCGCCCCCGGCCGCCCCGGCCGCCCCGGGCCCCCCCGGCGCCCAGCGCGCGCCCGCCCGCCGGCCCCTGACGGGAGCCTTGTCCGGTCCCGGTCCCCGCCCCCGCCCCGGCGCCCGCCCGGCCCGCGGCGCCCGCGCGCCGTCGCCCGGCGCCGGCCCCGGCCCGCGCGCCCCCGGCCCCGGCGCGCCCCGGCCGCGGCCCCCGGCGCCCCCCGGCCGCCCCCGCGCGGCCTCCGGCCCCGGGTCGCGGCGCGGCGCGGGCGGCAGCATGGTGGAGAAGCGCTGCCCGCTGCAGAGGGACGGCGTGTACCGCTGGTTCTCGGAGCTGCCGTCGCCGCAGCGCGTGGAGTTCCTGTGCGGCCTGCTGGACCTGTGCATCCCGCTCGAGCTGCGCTTTCTCGGCTCGTGCCTGGAGGACCTGGCCCGCAAGGACTACCACTCGCTGCGCGACTCGGAGATCAAGGCCAACAACCCGGCCGACCTGGGCAGCCTCACCAACCTGACGGACGAGGTGGTGCGCAGCAAGCTGCTGGTGTCGCTGGCGCTGCTGGGCTCGGAGCAGCGGGAGGCGGCCGGCGTGCTCTACCGCACGCTCACGCACATCGACTCCATCATCCACAACTACGGGCTGCAGCTCAACGAGGGCCGCACGGGCGATGAGTTCCTGCTGCTGTTCACCATGGCCTCCAATCACCCGGCCTTCAGCTTCCACCAGAAGCAGGTGCTGCGCCAGGAGCTCACGCAGATCCAGAGCAGCCTGAACGGCGGCGGGGGCCACGGCGGCAAGGGCGCGCCCGGGCCCGGCGGCGTGCTGCCCACCTGCCCGGCCTGCCACAAGGTGCGTGCCTGCCCCGAGCTCTGCTCTGCGCCCCCATCTCTGTACGCCAAACTTCCAGCCTGCACCGCGAGCTCCCACCCAGGTCTCCAGCCTGCGCCGCGAGCCCCCAGCCCGTGTCCCAAGCCAACTATCCCGCACCGGAAATGTGTACCCCACCTCTCCAGGCCTCTACCTTACACGCCAAGTCCCCACCCCGTGTCCCAAGCCCCCATTCCAAGCCCCCACTCCGCACCCTAAGTCTGCACCCTAAGACCGGGGCGCTGAGCCCACACTCAGTCACCTCCCCGTGTCCCTAAGCCTCCGCCTCGCTCCCTTCGGGCAGGAGTGGCTGCAGCGGCTCTGGGAAGGAGGCTCTGCGGGAGCGGTGCGGGAGACGTCCGCGGTCAGAGCTCATGGCCCCAGGTGCTCTCCTTTCACTTCCCGTTTGGAAACGCGATAAGGCCTTTGTTCCCTTAATGGGTGACAGATAACACACATTGCGTCGTTTTGGTTTCTCCAAATCTGGTATTTACTACCAGAAAAGGAAGGAGCCAGGGCCACAGAAGCTGCCAGTGAGGTGAACGTTGGGAGGCGCTGGGCATCGCCGTCCTGGCCGCTCTCTCAGCACAGGTGTCCGGGCACCCCGTGGGGCTTGTGTCGCTGGGAACCTGCGCGCGGGACGTGGCTGTCCGTGTGATCTCATTTATGGACACGTGTATGCTGTATGATGTACGCGTGTGTCGCATGTGGGCGTATGTGTGCACACGTGTGTATGTGAACGTTGTGTGTGTGTGATCGTTTTTAAGAGCCAGGCCACCTGTAACAGAAAGAGACCCAGAGCCTTAAATGCCCGTGAAACCGCTAGCCATTGGCGACCCTTAGAGACAAAACCCAGGCCGACTGAGTGGGAGGGAGGGCACTGGTGCCTTGAGGAATATCAGGTGAAATTAAAGATCTCCAGTCTCCGGACTGAACTGGAAGGCATCGTGGCCATCCACTTAGCGATGTGAGCTTTTGTCTGTTTCAGAACTGAAAACGCAAAGTGTTTGGGGCTCAGGCTATTTTTACCAGCCCCCTGCAATCCACTGCCAAAAGTTTGCTGTGAGAAGAGATTATTTTGACCGGGTGTGGTGTGTATTTAGATTACTAACCGATTTTCTTTGGAAGGGAATAGGTTGCAGTCAGGACTAGTCCTGCTGAGGGCCTCTTTGCAGTGTCTTTAAACTCTTTCAAGTTAAAACTTTGATAAGATTTTGCTTTCATGAGCGGCTGAGGTTTGCTAGGTTTTGTGCCGTGTGTTTAAAGCTATCTTTCAATCCTAGATTGTGGCTTTTCTTTTTTAATGTCTTCCTCTAAGAAGTGGTTGCGGTACATACATTGGTTTTCTGGTTGATTTTTTTTGTGTGTGACATTTATCTCCCAGACTATGGTCTTCTTTTTAAGGTCAGTTCCCACCCTAGATTCCAGGTCCTGTGCTGCGCAGAGGGTCCCAGGAAATGTAGTTGCTTGTAGTAATCTATGTAAGCCTTGACATGCCAGCAAATTGTCATCTATTCCTGGACTCTCAGTCGTTTATGGTCAGTTTCATGTGCCCTTACTCCTCTGTGTAGATTCCACCCACTAATAATTTCTATGGCTGTTGCTACAGTAACGTCAGCTCTTTAACGGGATTCTTAAATGTGTGAGCACGGGTGCATCACTTTATGCAGACAGTGGTGATGATTATTTTGGTTGGGCAGTGAGCTAAATCTAGAACAAAAATGGCTTTTATAGGAGAGCCTTTCTGTCAGGCAGAAATCCCTTTGATGAGATGAAGGGGCAAATCTCTTCCTCTCAGTTCACCCCTGCACCCACCTCCCAGCCCCAAGGCCATGGGCGCTGGATTTACCAGGCGTGCAACCTTGGCCAGAATCCTCCTCCCTCTCAGTGTGTCCCTATTGCAACAGAAGGGATGTGACCTCCCTCACAGGCTTGTTTTGAGGATTCCGTAGGTAACATACGTGCGCCTCCAGCAGATGTGCAGTGAATGCCTTCTCCTTCACAGCCTCTCTGGCTTTTAACACTCACTTTTATAGAGGTGCGCAAACTCGAAGCAAGGCATGTTTTACAGAATGAACTATTTACGTCTTGGCCATGAGTGTTTATGTGTTCTGAATTGGTTTTTTGAATAGTTACTTGGAGCTGACATGTTTTTTGTTTCATCTTTGGAAAACTGGAAAATTCTGTGAGAGGATTAGCATAAGGAGGAAGCTTGGGCTGTCGTTTTCAAAGCAACCATGGTTTCTAGTTTTCCCTACATACTCAGTGTCACTGCTAAGCTAATTTCAGCCCCACTCATTTAACTTTCTTTCTGTTTCTGCTTCAAAGCTAAGCCTGACATTGATGAACCCTTTGTTGCTTGGAGCAGGCAATTCAGATGAAATTTAGCATTTAAGTATTTTGCCTTCTTAGTTTCTAAATGTAATGTTTGCTGTAATCCTGAAAAAGCAGCCCCTTTAAAGCAGTTTGCATTCTCTTGTAAGCTGTTGTATTTTGTTTTGAATTCTTTTAGCATAGAGGCTTTGTATTTTTCTTTTAAAGATACAAATGTCAATTGCTTTTTAAATTCTTTATGCAATTTAGATTTTTGTTTCTTGGCCCAGTGAGGGGGCTCAGGCCTGTAGTCCCAGAAGTTTGGGAGGCCAAGGTAGGCAGCTCGATGGAGGCCAGAAATCCAGCACCAGCACGGGCAGCACAGCAGAACCCTGCCTCTACAGAAATACAAGCCTTAGCCAGGAGTAGTGCTACATACCCATAGTCCCTGCTACTTGGGAGGCCAAGGCGGGACGATTGCCTGAGCCTAGAAGGTAGTCTGTAGGGGAGCTGTGATTGTGCCACTGCACTCCAGCCTGGGCGACAGAGTGAGACCCTGTCTCAAAAATTTTTTTTAAAAATGTGTTTTAACTGTATTTTCTGAAATACTCATTATTTGCGATTGCTTGTCCAAACTCTGTGTTTTTATTTTAAAATTCTTAATATTCTGAGGACTTCCAGAGGTGTACAGATGTGGAGAGTATAAGGTAGACATACCTGTATTTTACTTTCAGAAAGAAAAATCCTCACAGTAGCCACACTAATGGTAGGCTGAATGGGTTTTTCTCTGCCTAGGAGCCTGTCAGGCTGCGGCTTGCTGTGCCTGCAGCCGCCTGTTCCAGGGTCCAGCCGCGGGGGAGAGTTGGCTTAGACTTTCCGCTGTTTGTTTTACGTAGATATAAAACCATAGTTTTGGAAATAGTTAAATCCTTTGCAGTTTTTTTTCTTTATGTCAGTGATAATATGCTATGGTATATGCACATGTTTATTCTTGTTTTAAAAATAACAGCTTTATTGAAAGAGAATTTATATACTGTATATATTTCACCCTTTGAAAGTGTGGAAGTCAGTGGTTTTTGGTATAGTCATATAGCTGTGCAAGCACAACCACCACTACCACTAATTTCACAATGTTTCTATCACCCCCAAAAACCACTGTCTGTCAGCAGTCGCTCCCCTTTCCCCCTCCCCTCCAACCCTTGACCACCCCTTTTGTCTATGGGTGTTGTTTTTTTTGGACGTTGCATGTAAGGGGACCACACAGCTTTTATGACCTTTTGTGACTGCTTTCCTTCACTCGGTGTTGTGTTCTAAGGGCTGTGGGTGTGTCAGCACTTCCTCCTTTTTCACGACCGAGTGGCATTCCCCTGTGTGAAGTCCGAGTTGCATTCACCTGTTCCTCAGCGGGCGGATCCTAGGGTTGCTTCACATGCTTGCTTTTAGACCTTGTTCTTCGTGGCTCATTGCTCTTCGTCTTCACCCCGTACACTGTGCCTAACAGGAACGCATAGCGTATCCTCTGTGGGCCACTGGCACCTATGTCTGCACAGGGCTGTCCTGAGGGCTCCTGTTCGACCTAGTGGATGGCCAGGTACTGTGTGCAGACCTGTGTGTGTGTGGCCTAGGCCGACCTGGGGAACTGCCGCTGGAGGTGGCAGGGAACACTGCTGTAGGGACAGAGCCTCCAGGCCGGTGCATTAGGTCACCTACTGGTGTGGAGGAGCAGGGCCTGATGGGCAGGGGCAGGGCCCCACTTGAGGCTTTGAGGGTCCTGCCCTTTGTGTTTCAGCATTCCTGGGGTATGGATAATGAGCTACTGCATGGGCCTGATTTTTTTAAGGGGTGCTAAGATGGTGTTTTTAAAGCGCTTGGTGCAGGGGCGCGGTGGGGTAGTGGTCTTCCTAAGTAGGAGTATGTTGTGTGGGACAGTTCTGGAATTCTCTGTGGCTTGCATCATGAGTGCCAGAGGATAAGCGCTGTAGAAACTTTAGACAGACACGAATACTCTGAATAAACCTGCTGAAAATCTCTGCCCAAAGATAAGCAACAGCTTTTGCTTCGTTGGTTTTCATAAGCTGTTGAAAATCGTTGCATTCAGAGGTGAAACGTGGGCTAGTTCATCCTCTGGTTATCAGGCAAAGTGTGAGTGGCTTCTTTTGGTTTCTCCTTTAGCCCTAAACTCTGGGCCTGTTGCAGCGAAGAGTCATCTAGCATTCCACCAGAAAGGACTCTGGAGCAGCTGTTGTCACTGCTGGTTAAAGGAATAGGTGTGACCTGAAGACACTGTTTTGTCTCCTTAGCATTTAACAAATCTTTAACATTTGTCCTGGGCAGCTGTGCGTGCCTTGTCTGTGAACGAAGTCTCCTGGCTGTCTTTGTATACACTGCTTTGCTTTTTACACCGCAGGAGATAATATCCAAAACATAGTGGATTTCTTTTCTGGGCAGCTGTTTTAAAGTACAGTACATGATACCGGAATCGACACATACAGTCATGTGTTGCCTAAAGATACAGATACATTCGGAGAAAAGCCTCATGAGCCGATCTTGTGTGAACGTGACAGAGTGCGCTTACAGAAACCTAGGTGGCAGCACCCGCTGCACCCCAGGCCACGTTGTAGAGCCTGTTGCTTCTCAGCTGTAACCCCGTACAATATGCTACTGTGCTG